TCCTGGAAAGGTTAGACGTGGAGTTTCCATGTGATCCAGCAATTCCACTTTTTGGTGTCTACCCAAGCGAAATGAAACCATGTGTAAACAAAATCGTGTTCATGAATGTTCACGGCAGCATTCTTCATGATAGCCAAAAAGTGGACAGGAACCCAAATGGCCAGAAATTGGTGAATGGATAAATAAAATGTGGTATATCCATGCAATGAAAAATTATTCGGACACGAAAAGAAATACAGCACGGATACATACGTGGATAAACCTTGAAGACTTTCGTGCCAAGTGAAGGAAGCCAGGACACAAAAGAATGTAGTGTGTGATTCCATTCATATGAGATGTCCGGAATGGGCAAATTCCTAGAGAAAGTAGATTAGTGATTACGTAGGGCTGGAGGGAATGGGGATGATGACTACAGAGTGTGGGTTTCTTTTGGGGGGGGATGAAAATGTGGTAAAAAGGACTGTGGGGATGGATGCACAACTCTGTGAATATACTAGAAAACACTGCATGTGTACCTTAAAAGGGTGAATTGTGTCCCAGCATACAACTCATACAGTGGTATGTGAATTAGATCTCAATAAAAAAAAAAAATTATATGCCACAAAGGTAAGAATAAGAAAAAAGTGGATGGGGTGAGAGCTGTAGGCATTACAAAGATGGAGAGGTGGGAACAGAACCCCCAGCCCCACGCCCTGCTGGGGGGCAGGCTGCCTCCCAACACCACCACCAAGACTGTGGATCTGAGGGAGCGTTCCCGTGCTGCCACAAAGGTGAGGGTGTTTTCAAGTTTGATCGTTGGTGGGCTTGTACATCTAGAAAAAAAAAATCGATCTAAAATTTGGGGTGTGAAAGCCACAGAGTATATGCAATCTTTAGATCTTCTCTAATGGGATGGATGATGTCATGAAGGGGTCTTCTGGGTTGCTTCCTCAGGGTCCCTGATGGGCCTTCCAAGAGCCCAGACTCCCACCCTCTGCAGGAGATGGGTGTCAGGGCGCATAGAAGTCCTACAGCGGCCGTGCCTGATCCCTCCGGGGAATTTCAGAATGCTTGGGAAGAACCCACCTGAGTAACACTTACGGCAGAGAGAGGAATTCCTCTTAGATCCCCAGTGACTCTGGATTCAGGTCCAGAGCGCATCTTATCAATGCTATGTAGAGACAGATGTTGTTTATGAGAATCAAATCATGGGCCCTGGGTGGAATCTCAGTTTGGGACCTGAAACCATCAAGCAGGTAAATCTGAGCCTGGAGAGACTGTGGTGGCACTGGGGCCCGTCCAGATCTCACTCCCTATAACTTCCTCTAGGCTTCAAGTCCAGGCCCGGAAAGAACAGAACCCATCTTTGGCCTTTCGTAGACTTTTCCACTTGACCTAGGAGGTGAGTCCCAGGGTTGGGTTGTTCTGAGACCACGCCCTTTTACAAGTACGTGGCATTACTCTTCCCTGGGACTGTCTATAATCCTATCTGACAAGTATGTTTATCCCAGATGGACGGAGATGCTTGGTTCAATGTGAAGGCTTCCTGATGTCTGCCCAGTCCTTACTGTGGAGGAAAACCCTGGGCCGCCATAGGGGTGGTTGGCTAGGAGAGAGTCATGGGACCTGTGGGTAGCATCTGGGACCACAAGGCCTGAGTGCTCCCCGCCCTCCAACCCCCCCCCCCCCCCGCCCCCCGGCTGTCTGGCTATCTGTGATCTCAGCCCTTCACTGGTCTGTGCATCTCCCACTGGGATAAACATGTCCTTCCCCACTTGGCCACAATCTAAATTAGGTCTTTCACGATGGAGCCACATTAACTCCACATTGCCTGAAGGTGCAGACTCCGAAGGGCTTTGTGCAAAGCTCTTGATCTTGGGGTTTGCACAAAGGTGGAGGAGGTGAGGCAACTGGAGATGAGTCCTTGGTAGGTGGGAGCCCACTCTGGGTCTACGAGCTGCTCTCACCAGGGGGCGCCACACTCCTCCTTTAGCGCTACCCTGGTCTGGCTTCCAGATTTCCAAGGCTCAGGAAAGGGGATGGCGCGCCTTCCAGATTCTCACAATCACACCACTTCGTAAAGTGCTTCTAGGCATTGAAGCTTCCTATGGAATAGCCTGATGATTTTCTGAGAGTAAACACAGCTGACCTACCTGACAAGGGCTCCTTGATAAAATAGCAACAGTGGGCTACAAACTGAGTCTCCTTCTTGGTTTCCATTCTGCTTTTCGTTCCATTTTATGACTCAAAAGTACTTTCCTCCTTTTCCAAGTATAGCATCAGTCCCTTCTGGGATCTTTAGTGGTAAAGAGATCCTGAGAAAGTGGATCTGGCAAAATGGAGGCTTTCTCTAAAGAGTCTAAACAGACCCTAATTAGTCCTGGGGCAGCTGCTATGCCAAGAAACTGCACCAAGACAGTTTTCTTCCTTGGTGGCTGCTGGTTGTTATAAGGACACCACGGTGAAGGTCTCGGCCACACGGGGCTGGGCCACGCTTCTCCACCACAGGTGCCCGGGGAGGTTTGTCCAGGGACGTATTCTCTGTTGTCATGGCTCTTGCTGTCCGTGGGACTGCAGGAGGGGAAGCTGCTCAGGATATTTGGGGGGAGACCGGCCAGGGCTCCTGAGATGGGAAGAGGTCAAACCACCCTGTTGGAGAGGGATCTCAACTCTCCTACCAGGTGAGCGAGGCGTGGGGCCCAAAATGGTGTAGGAGAGCATGTGTGTGTAACAGTCACGAGCATGCACATCGGGGGGTCCCCCCTCCCCGATTCTGCTGGTAGATGCAAGAGTTCACACCCATGCCCTGAACCATGCCTGAGAGCAGTCGATGGTCGTGGTCTGTGGGTCTGCGTTGTTTCCAAGTTTCCCGAGGCGGCCAATCTTGGGTCTCCTCTTCCCCTGTGGATGTTCCCACCAGTGACAGACTCCTGGCCTCACCGGACTCCACACTGCAGACGGTACAGGGAACCTGGGACGTTGGGAAGAGTGCCCGGGAAGCCTCACACACTAGATACTTTCCTCGCAGAGCCCCGAGGCCACTCCTAGGATGGGTGGGGGCCCCAGATCTCAAAAGCAGCTCCGGTTTCACTGGGGGCCTCTAAGAGTCAGCGTGGCCCTCCATTCCCTGGGGATCTGTGTTCTGGCCACCACTGCCCTGCATGGGACTGGCCTCAGTGCATGCCGTGACCTTCAGCGTGGCTCTCTGGCATTTTCCCAGTGGAGATGTCATATGGGGGGTGGGAGAGGATGCAAAGCAGAAAATGATGCTCGGGCTCATTTTCAGAAAGACGTCAGAAAAACTCCTTGTTCCTCATCCCAAGCCTTCCTTCCGGAGCCCTCCCCGCAGACTGCCTCGCTCAGCAGGTGTCAGCGGCATCCGGGTGATGGAGGAGTGCACACTCAAGCTCCAGGTGACCCTCCAATTCATGGTTCCCTAGAGCCAGCCATTTTTTTCCTTTTTAATTGGAAGGACTTAATGTTTCCAGCTTCTCATTTTGCCAAATAAGAACTTTAAGGACAACAGCCGTATACTATTCTGATCACTTCCATTTTTTTAAAAGCAGGTTCCACACCCAATGTGGGGCTCAAACTCATGACCCCGAGATCAAGAGTCACATTTTCCATCGACTGAGCCAGCCCGGCGCCCCTATTCTAATCTTTTTTTTTTTTTTTTTAAGATTTTATTTATTTATTTGACAGAGAGAGACAGCGAGAGAGGGAACACAACCAGGGGGAGCGGGAGAGGGAGAAGCAGGCTCCTTGGAGAGCAGGGAGCCCGATGCGGGGCTCGATCCCAGCACCCTGGGATCATGACCTGAGCCGAAGGCAGACGCTTAATGACTGAGCCACCCAGGTGCCCCTATTCTATTCATTTTTTAAAAAGAAAACTCTTCCTACAGAATTACTTAATCTCAAACTAAATGACTAAAAGATGATCTTTATTATTTTTATTATTTTTTAAGATTTATTTATTTATTTTAGAGAGAGTGCGTACAGAGAGGGGCAGAGGGAGAGGGAGAGAAGCAGACTCTGCTGAGTGCAGAGCTGGATGCCCAGAACCCGAGATCACGACCTGAGCCGAAATCAAGTGCCAGATGCTTAACCGACTGAGCCACCCAGGCACCCCAGAGGATGATCTTTAATGGAATATATTTAGCTTTATGAAACACCTGCCACGTTTACCCTTGTTTTTTTTTCTCATTTCTCTGCTTGTCTGTGATCGGTCCTCAGGCCCCAGCAGGCCCTGTGGATTGGAGGCCTCTCTCACCCACCTTCCCTCCTCCTCCTTGGGACCTGGGTGGCCTCTGGTGGGCCTGATGTTGCTTTTCACAGATACTTACGTGGTGGTCTTTTGCATGTCTCTGCACGCGTGTCCTAGTGCAATTCCCTCGGTGTCACCAACTGGCCCCGTCACCCTTTAGGTGGTGGTGGGTGGAGGGCTGCTCTGAGTGGCTGAGCCCAGGGGTGTCAAGCTCTCTCCTTTCCTGGTTTCTTCCACTAACTCCTGACCACACCAAACAGACATGGGACAGAAATACGCAAGTGAAGGGAGGAAAAGTCTGGATTACATGGAAAATCTTTGACATATGCCAAGAAGAAACCAAGAATTTGTATCAAACACCGGAGAGTCAGGACAGGACTTTTCAGCAAGTTCCCAATCTCTGTAGAAAGACAAGGTCCCCGGAAAATTGACACCCACTCAAGGCAGCGGACTGAGGTGGCTGCAGGTGGAAACACTCTCCGCTGGGTATAGCCCATGCCTGCCGGCCCAGAGCATCTTTCACGGCCCTGGCCTTGGCCCTGCCAGGCTCTTCGTGTTCCCAGCTCAGAAAACCACCTCAGCCTGGATTGGGGTGCCTCTAGGCTTCTGTCTCCTCCTACTCAAAACATACAAAGCTCACGTTTTCTCCTTTTCCCTCTCTCTCTACCTTCCTCATTTTGCCACCGCCCTCCCTCTTCCCCCCATCATCCTCATCCCCACGGCTTACCCAGTGAACTTCTCCTTGCCGGGTTCTGCCACATTCACCTCCAACCCAGGAGGGTTAACTTTTCCCATATAAGGTGATCTGGAAGAGCTTTTTTCCTGTCCTGTCTGCGCCCAGCCCACATAGACATATTTCGTCTCTGTCTTTCTGCATATATACATAGTGGAGCCGGCCATTGAGCAAGAGACTAAATACCAAGTTGCATTGCTCTGGATGAGGTCTTTTCTCCTGTTAAAGAACACATTATTCAGACACTTGTTGAAGACGGTAAGGCAGACTTTATTCAAGGCGGGGGCATGGGGATAGGTGTGGGGACCATTGCAATGGGGTCTTGCAGTCGGGGAGAGAGCGTGGGCTCCACTCTCAACACAGCAGGGGCAAGTAGGAAATTGTAACCAAGGCGCAAGATGGGGGTCCGGGGTGGGAAATCACAGAGAGGAAATGTCAGGGATAAAGGGGGTTCTGGCTAAACCCATCTAATGGGGTTCCTGTTGAAGGCAGGCCAGGGTGGTCAGACATCACCTGGGAGGGGGGCGGTGGGGGTGAGGAGCCCCATCAGACATCGAGGGTGGGCGTTCTTGCTGAACTGACCCGGCAGGGTTCTCTTACAGGGAAGGGCACAGATAGGGGCAGGAGGAGTTTCAAGAGCCTGGAAAAGTTTGGTCAAGCAAAGAATCTTTGTCCTCCAACATTTTGCCCCAAGGATAGTGGTGTGGGATATACACGGTACCGCACAGGGCTCTGTAATGCTGGGGTGCGGGAAGATGACTTTCCTGCCTCACGGAACCAGCGTTCTCATTAGGGAACACAAAATCTTTGTTTGGGAAAAGACCCAGCTACAGGGTGAAAGGTGAGGCCCTCAGAGTCAAGAGAAAAGGGGACCAAGAAACAAAAGCCCCAAACACCGTGAGTGGCTCTGCATCATTCGAGAACGGGCATTTGGGGAGAGGGAGGAGGAGGGGCGAAGAGGCCGGAGGCAGGGGACGAGGACCAGAAGCAGGGTGAAGGCCAGAAGCACGTTGCAGAAATGGCATAAGGGAGTTTCAGAACAAGGAAAAGGCTAATAATCTGTTTTTAAAAAAAAAAAATTTTTTTTTTAAGATTTTATTTATTTGAGAGAGAGAATGTGATAGAGAGCATGAGAGGGGGAAGGGTCAGAGGGAGAAGCAGACTCCCCGCCGAGCCGGGAGCCTGATGTGGGACTCGATCCCGGGACTCCAGGATCATGACCTGAGCCGAATGCAGTCGCTTAACCAACTGAGCCACCCAGGCGCCCTAATCTGTTTTGTTTGCATTAGTACACTTGCTCTGTCTCCCCAGACTTTCCGCGAGAGGACACAGAAACGTCTTTGGCTACTATTGTTATCACTCGGTTTGCAACTCAAAGGAATGAGGCTGCACCTGCCGTGGGCCAGTGCTCAGGTGGAGGTAATGCAATGGGGAGAATCCGAGCTGGGGCCAGGGCCGAGGCTGGACCGCAGGCCAAGCAGAGGCCAGGAGAAGCACGATGGGGAGAAAGCCTGGGGATGGTGCCCATGCTGTCCACCTGCTTGTAGCGTCTGCCTGGGCTCATGTCAGGGATGGTCTGCACGACGCCTGGAGACAGGGAAGTAACTCTGCGAATCTGCTCTTTCAAGGAGCATTTATGGAGCATCGACTGTATGCCAGGTACACTGCTGCAGGACTAGGACGCTGAGGAGGCAGGAGGAACTTGAGCACGGCTCCGTGGTTTCTACGACTCCCTGGAGGAACGATGGCTTCCTTCCTTAAAAGCGTGGCCAGCTCCTTCCACCTGAAGGTGAAGGCCGAACAACTGCCCATTCCGGAGGATGGATGATGACCCTTGACTGCCCAGACCCAGCTCGCCTGTTGGGCCCCTCCTCTGAAATCCCTCGGGAAGCCCCTCTACCCCCAGATCACGTCTGATTCCTGGATGTTTCTGGAATGCATCAAGCAGGCTGCAAAACTGCCACCCCCCGAATTCCATTCCCCCTGCCTCCACACCTTCTCCCCTGGTCCCTTCCTGCTCATCCTTCCAAGCCGGGTTAGTGGGCCCCGGCCTCGTGGCCCTCCCTGACCACTCCTTCTGCTCTCCCCACCCAACCCCTACCGTCCCCCAAACCAGCAGCCTCCATCATGCTGGCATCCGGGCTCCAATGGTGCTCCCAGCTGGCAGGGATGGACCGGATCATCACGAGTTGCTTCCGTGATGTCTCTCCTCCTGAACTGTACCAGCGGGAAGAGGCTTGTCTTTTTCATCTCGGTGCCCACCCAGCGCCTGGCACTCAGTGAGCTGTCTAAGCAGCGAGGGTGAGAAATATTTTCACCTAAGGAACTGCAGAACTTTCTCCAGTGTTGGGAGGACAGGAACCTCAACTATGGGTGCAGCCTCCCCTCTGACTAATTTTCATTCAACTCCCAGTATAAATAGCTCCCTTTGCCCATATCAGAAAACATCTGCTCCCACTAGCTGCCCAGGCCTGTACCAGCTCTATAAATATCCTGGCTGCATCTCAGCTGCTCTGGCGAGGGGACCAAGAGAACTTGGAACGAGTGAACACCAAGCAAGATGAGGGCAGTGGGAGCGAAGAAGCAGAGATCGCCCCATCTCCCCCTCTTGCGCCTCCAGGCACAGGCTGACAGTGCCTCCCACTTGGGCTTGGAAACCCCCAGCAGTATTCCTGGGAATTCGGCAGAGACAGATAAATGTCAGCTACTCCTGGTCTCATGGTTTTCAACACGCTGTCTGATGCAAAGCCCCAGCTCCTCTCTCACCAGCTGAGGGGCAGCTTGAAATGCAGTTCGAGCCAGCCCTCCCCATTCCAGCAGGGCTCTGGAGATGCAGGATGGGAGATGATACGGCTTCGAAAGGGTTGCGTTTTATGCACCTTTATAAGGAGTCATGTAATTCTCTGCTCCTTGGAGCTACTTTTTCTGTTTGATAAACCAGAGGGCTAAATTCCTCAGAGTATTGTGCTCTAGAACCTGCAGATTTCCAAGGAGGATAAAAGGGGGGTTAGTGTTTGGGAGAAGGAATGTGGGAAACAGACGGGTTCCGTCTAAAAACACCAGCAGCAGACATCACGTGCTGTGTTTGTAAAACCGGGGTGCGGTGCAGACAGTATTTGTGGGTGCACAGGAGTGAAAGCCCCTTCTTCGCTCCCCAGCCTGTTCCATACTCCCGGGGGGGGCCGGTTTCTCTTCAAACCCCCTAGTGAAATGTCTGGCAGCCCAGTGACCCTCAGTGGCTGCTGGATAACGAAATGTTTCCTGGTCACTTTGAGTCAACAGGGTCTCAGTGCCCCAGAGATTCACTGAAGTTAAATTTCTTCCCACCCACCTCAGCTGCTCCCGACCAGAAGCTGTGATAGGATATGGGGGAGGGGCCCTTCTCGAAGCATCCTCCCTGTAGGAGTCTGAGTTCTCCAGAGAAACAGGACCATTACAGGGGCGCCTGGGTGGCTCAGTTGGTTAAGCGACTGCCTTCAGCTCAGGTCATGATCCTGGAGTCCTGGGATCAAGTCCCGCATCGAGCTCCCCGCTCAGCGGGGAGTCTGCTTCTCCCTCTCCCACTCCCCCCTCTTGTGCTTTCTCTCTCAAATAAATAAATAAAATCTTAAAAAAAAAAAAAAGAAACAAGACCGTTACATATATTTACTATCACGAATTGGCCTCCAAGGATCACGGAGGCTGAGAAGCCCAAGTTTTGCAGTCAGCAAGCATGAGACTCAGGAGGGCTGAGGGTGTAAGTTCTGCTCTGAGTCAAGTCCAAAGGCAGAGACCAATGTCCCAGCTGGAGGATAGTAAGACAGAGAGAATTCTTCATCACTCAAGCTTTCAGTGGATCGGCTGAGGCCCACTCACACTGGGGCAGGCTTTCTGCTCCTCTCTGTCCACAGACTCAGATGCTAATCTCGTCCAGAAACATCCTCACAGACACACCCAGAAATACCGTTTGACCAAATATTTGGACACCCCACGGTGCAGTCGAGTTGACAGATAGAATTAACCCTCACACTTGATTTCCCCGCATTTTCTGTCCACCTTCTTTCCTTCCACTCGCTGGGCTGCCTCAGCCCCTCCAGGGCGAAGTGGGGTGGGGGGGCACCCCTGAAATCGGCCACTGCTTCCTTTGGCCATGGCAAATATTTGAAGCTGACTTTTCTCCTGTGAGGGGCTTTGGGGTTCCTCGGTGACTCCCCGTGGGCTGGGGGATTGCTCCCCCATGGTTCTCTGAGGGGACGAGGACATCCTAGCTAGTGCCTTAGGGTCTTCGCTCAGTCCTTTCGCCTGGCAGCCCTTGAGGCCAGCTCTTTCTCATGGCATCTGGTCTGTGGGAAAACCAGGGGCGAGGGGCTCTGCCCTAATCATGCAGCCACCCATCCTTGTTCTGGCTTTAGTGCTGTCCTCATTAGGTTCCCCAGGCTTGCAGTGGACACCAGCTGTCTGGTCCTGTGAACTACTGGGCATGCGTGTCAGCTCCGAGGGGCCCCCTCGAGGACCTTCTCACCATGCTCCCTCCCCTCATTCGTGGGGCACCGGGGATGGGGAGGGGAAGTGCCCCAACACCCAACAAATCCTCTGAAGACATCATCTCTCTGATTTCTTGCCACCTCCCATGCGTGGGTGGTCACAGGTTCTCCGACAGCTCTTTGCGGGCCCCGCTGAGTGGGTCTAGCACCTCCCTTCGGAACACGGGGGTATTGGACTGGTTCTCTGCGCTAGAATTAAAACAGCATCATTTTTAACATCCTGTTTCCTTTGGATTAGCTGAGGGTAGTAGGCCAGGCTGTGATGGGTACAGCCCCTCTTCTTTGGATAAATGATGTTCCAAGCATTTCCAGCGCCCTTGGATCGCCATCGTTACTCCCGGGGGAGAGAAGGTTAGAGGCTGGAGAGCCTTTGTGCGCTAGGGTACTAGAGGCTTTAGAAAGGTGGTTGTTCGCCTCCTGGAATCAGGCCCACGGTCAAGGAAGGAAGAAGGGCAAGGGGCATTGCTGGTCTTACTGTCTTTTACAGAAGAAAAGCAAAGCCTTTCCAGAGGGCCTCCGGAAGACACCCCAAATGCATCGTTTGGTAGGACTGTGCCAGGCACCATTGGCTCTCTCGGCCTCAGCGGAGACCAGCAAGGGAGGAGGGGGCTGGGAACGTTGACGTGGTCGTCATGGTGGCAGCATCTGTCTCTTGAGCAGCTCACCTCAACTAAAATGGTGACTCTCCTTAGGAGAACCTTCCCCATCCTCCTGCTCCCCTTCTTCCTCATTATCGAATATTAATGAGCTCTTATGAATACACCATGTACATTAGACCCTGGATGTGGGCAAATTAGATTCTGTCCTCAAGGGGCTCATCCTGGTTCTTGTATGGTCCCTGTGGAATCAGATACATAGACGTTATGCTTTTTGCTCTCACCGTCAGTAGTAGGAAGTTGTGGTGGTGTTCCAACGTCGGCTCAAGAAAATTCCGGTGTTGCAAAGTGACCTGGATGTAGTGGGACAGACTTCAAGGCGTGAAAATGTGTATCGAACCATTAAGAGAGAAGAGGGTGGTTTTTTGGAACAACTGACAAAAAATTGGTTGTAGCCTTAATATTTTTCTCTCATAGAAATTTTTTAAAAAAGATTTTATTTATTTATTAGAGAGAGAGGGAGGAAGAACGAGCACCAGCGGGGGGAGAGGCAGAGGGAGAGGGAGAAGCAGGCTCCCCGTGGAGCAGGGAGCCCGATGCGGGACTTGATCCCAGAATCCTGGGATCATGACCTGAGCCGAAGGCAGACGCTTCACCGACTGAGCCACCCAGGCATCCCTCTCATGGAAATTTTAGTTTGGAATTGGTTCTTTGTAGACCTTTCTAGATAGGATTGTTGTATAGGCTGCAGGTAGTTAAATTTGTGGTCTAAAATTAGTTTTGTAGTTAGATTTCTCTGGGGGATCATATGATTCCCTGAAAGTAGGCTGGCTACACTCTCAGGCTGGTTCAGTGCGTTTAACATTAAGTTGCTACTTCAGTTCACTAAATCTTGTCTTTCAGGCCTAAAATAGCTCCAAAGTTACCAGACTCAATGATGGCAGAGACACTTTGGCACCAGAAAGAATCGGGCTGATAATGTGATGAGAGCCTTTTAAAATGTATCCATGATGACGTTATTAGGTTCGGGAGGGGGTGTCCTCCCTACTTAAATTGGGATAACCCATCAGGTGCAGGGGTCAGAGGACATGGAGATGGGGAGGTTATTAGGTCTGTGGGCAAGTGGGCTTGCTAATGTTGCACTCCCGAAGCAGACGTGCTGATTCCTCCTGTCTGGTTGAGAGTTGTCCAGCTGACCAGCATGTTCTCTGTGGCTGGGGGATCCCAGAAGAGGAGAGAGGGGGATACTCTGAGCATGCACAGTTCTTCCCCATCAGCCCAATTGGGAAATTAGCTCAGCTTCCTTTGGGGGAGGAATGGGTGGGAAGAGGGAGTGGTAAGGACCAGGGAGAGAAGCAAGGAGTGTCCCCATATGAATTCCCTCTGTAAGACAACATGAGGAACTGGGGATACGTGTCTGCCCCCTCCTCACATATATAAACTTAAAACATTATACACATAATTATGCCGTACAGTATGCTTTGATCCGACTGGGATTCTAGATGCTTCTGTCTTTTTATGGCTCTCCCCCTACTGACCCATCTGCCATGTGTAAGTCAGCTTCTCTCTGTGTCTCAGTTTACTTATTACAACCAGAAAGGTAGTGACAGCCTTCATATTAATAGGGCTGATATAGAGGTTGTTCTAGTCAAGCTAAATCTTGCTTTCCGTCTTATCACAGATTTTATTATAATGCTAGTTATTAATAAATCATATCACCCCCATTAAAAACCTGGCATTAAATACACATGAAAATTGCTACATCCAGACAATGGGAGATTGTTTAGCACTCAAAACGAACGAGCTATCAAGCCCCACAAAGACATGGAGGAAACCTCAATGCACGTTACTAAGTGAAGGAAGCCAATTTTAAAAGGCTGCACACTATGTGATTTCAATTATGTGACATTCTGGAAAAGGCAAAGTAACAGTGGTAGTAAAAGGATCGGTGGCTGCCAGGGGTTAGGGGCATATATATATGAAAATGGTTAATAGAGAGGCCTGGGTATATTTATTCTTAGAAGCCTGGCCCATTTCATTCCCAAGGTCCTCCAACAAATTCTTCCTCCATATTTGAAATGGATGTCACGTCCGGCGGAGGGAGAAGAGCCTCACTATTCACCTAGGAAAGACCTTTGTTCGGGCACTTCATCTTCCTCTCTCTGCTCCCCCCACTCCAGGCCTCCGTGGGGCTCCCTGTGCTCACCCCACGCACAGAGAACATTGCCAGGTCAGCAGTATACACCGTCCCTTAGACACAAGGAGTATTATTTAGTCTAGAAACTCTCAAAGGAAATATCCGCTTGCACGTGAAAAATCTCTGGAATTTCTCTGTTCCTTGCTGTCCAACATCCCTGGATCTCTGAAACCGCCTTGAAAAAAGCCTCTGTACACAGAGCTGCCTTGTTCACCGCTGGGGCAGGCCTGCTCCAGCCCACTTCTGTCCCGGCCACTGTCCCCTCCGAGCCGCTCCTGCCCCACCCCCCCCATGGGTGGTGCCCAGGAGAAGAAGAGAGGAAGAGGAGGACGGAGGAGGAGGTGGAGGGCTCTCTGAAGATCAGAAGGGAGAAATTTTACACAATTGGGGAAATACACAGAGGAACAAAATCCACAGTCTTAAACCCTCAGTCCTGGAGTATCTGGGCCTCACTGCTTCTCACTCCATAATTAAGACAAGGAGGACTTTGGATCTAGACAATGAGAAAAGCCGTGGGCTCGCCCCCCAACGGTGACAGATCCGGAGTTTATTTAGATCAGGCACCTGGGGACCCAGGTGGGGGGCATCCAAGGGCCTTACTAGAGGAGTCTGTGAAGGTATAAGGAATTGAGCAACTGCCTCGCCTTCTCTTTAGCATAAAGACAGGGACACAGTCTTTCCTCCTCATCTCCGGGGCCCCTCACCACCCCTCCCTCCCCAGCCCTGCTGGAGGACTGTCTGGTCTCCACCTGAGTCTGGTTTCGGCAGCGAAGGCTCAAGACCACTACTTCCCAGCTCCTTTTATTCACAAGTGTTATAAATATCTTTCTCTTCGTGCCAGCAGGTTGGGGTGAAACCAGACTAACATGGGAAAGGGAAGGTGGAAAAGAATCCGAGGTGAAGAGGGAAGCCTTTGGAAAACAAGAAGTATTCAAGGACCAGGTGTGAAAGTTTTAAATAGAAACCTGCTTACATTGCACTTGGACTAACAACAGCCGGCACTTGGAGGTCCCGGGGTTCTTTTCAGAAGACTAACATTTAAGTTCCAGACAGTTCTGGGGCCGTCTTAACATCACACGAATTCGTTGTAGCAGAAGCCACAGCTGGGTGGCCCGTTGTGTCTGTGCTTCTCAAATTCTGAGTTGAGGAGTTTATTTTCTGAGTTCTATGCTAAACCTCTTATATTCCAACACACGCACACACACACACAATGACTCTGTTTTTTAAAATGCAGTCATACATGGGAATTTTATGACATCAAACCCTTAAAAATGTGGAAATCTTGGTTTCAAAATACTGGGGGAAAATAATAAA